CATATTTATTCTTCTTGAAAGGTCTCTGACATTTAAAACTGAGTACTTGAGTTTCAGAACCCTGTCCTTATGTTCTCTGGTACTACACAGTCCTGACTGTTTTCACTCTTGGTCATTTTTGTTGAGTTGTTCTCTTTATGGTTGTGTCCAAAAACTCAGCCCAATATACTTGTGCTCTGCCCATATTCCCTCTCTTAAAGACTTTATTCCAATTCCCTATCAAAATCACCACTTCCAGCTGTGCATCAATGGCTACCTCTGCCAGGATGTTCCACGCCACTTCAGATGTAACATGTTTGCAGTGGAGTTGTTTTTTGATCAATGCTGACTCTCTCTGTGATGCTCCTCTGGCTATAAGAGGCATCATTATTTCCACAGTCAGGCTCAGAACTGGGAAGTCATCTTGGATTCCTCATTCTTTCTGGTCCCTACATCTAACCAATCACGGGTTAAGTTCCTCTTTTATAACATCTTCTATCTACCTCTTGCATTTCATTCTTATTGCTGCCCCTCATCTGTGGGTCCTTATCATCCTTTGTCTTGACCACTACAAGCAGCCTTTTCTCCTTGCTTCCATTTCTCCCCACTACATCTATCAATTACTTGTTCAGAAGGCATTCATAGCTATTTATTCTACATAGAATTGAGTCTTAACTCCTTAGTCAAATCAGAACCTTCTGTACTTCACTTATTTCCAGTCTCATTTTCTGCTTTTTCCCTCAAAACCTCCTCTAACTCATGGTTCTGTTTTCTAGCCCTTGAGTATGCCACAAACACTTGATCTTTGTCTGCTTGTTTAAGCTGTACTTTGTCTTCAAGGTCAGGCAAAAGTCCTAACTCTAGTTCCAACTGATTCTTTTCAAAATTTATTACTCCTTTTTAGGATACTTCCTATAGCACATAATTTTCTGCAATATATACCTTGCATTATAAATTTTCTTTTCATTCATTCAAACAATTGTATTTATCATTGCCATGTGCCAAACACTGTGCTAGACATAGGGAATATAAAGACAGATAAGATACTGTTCCTGTCCTTGAGGCGTTCATGATCTTGTTCAGTTTGACCAAAGAGAATACATTTGAGGGCAGGGCAGAAACTACTTTTTTCTCTTTGTATTTCCACTGCTAATCAGTGTTTTGTATAGTATACATATGTACACATTATTGCTACTAATGATGACCATAAAAGACAAACAGTTTCTTCTAAGAATAATGAAGAAGAAAGCGAGAAGCTACCAAAGTTTTACTCAATATAGTTTATATAATTCTATTAGACATCAAGTAAGGAAGCTACTATCCATCTTTCTGATGAATTTTTAGTATTATAGAAATTCTTTTTTTACCCATAAAGGTATCAATACTCTAAAAATCCTTAAGGATTGTACAAGGAGGTAAAAGAACCCTTTTTGCATAATTTGCAAAGTTAATTGAACTTTTCATAGAGAAACTCTGTAATAATGCTCATATATGCACATCACACTCATAAACACACACACACACACACACACACGCACACACACACATATATTTTTGAAATCTGTTGGGCTGCTAGAGTGGCTCAAGTGTTAAGAGCACCTGCCTAGCAAGCATGAGTCGAAACCCCAGTTAAAAAAAAATTGTAGATAGCACCAAAGGTTCACTGATAAGCAGGAGTCAAAAGCTGTTAATGAACTGATACCTTATAATGTGATGAAAAAATCAGTACCATATAACAATCCAGAAAATATCACCAAAATTATACTGAAACCTCACTAGTGCAGTTGGTTGACTTGGCACAAATCTCCAGAAAAATTCAGCCTACATGGATGGGACTTTAAGTTTCTTGAAAGAAGTTGTTTTCAATTTATTCTATGGTCCCTAAAATTCCCAGGACAATAGTATACATTAGAACTATTCATACAACATTTGTCAATTATGATTGATGTGAACTTTGAAGTCAACAGGTAAGTAATCAATAATTATCATATTCCAGAGGGAAAAGGCAGGAATTATTTTAATGACCTAAACAGGCTGGTCAAATAGTTCCCTGTAGGAGCTGTGTTTAAAGGAGGAAAGAGACCCAGTCTGTCTCCAGTTTTGGAGGCAGAGGTGTTCTCATAGGAAGGGTAATAACAGCTAACTTCTATCAAGTGCTTACTAAATGCCAGACACCGTTCTAAGTAGATTGTCTTCTGTTATCTCCTTTGATCCTTAAAACAACTCTATGGATGTAAGCACCATTAGAACCTCCACTTTACAGATAATGAAACAGATACAACAAAGTTCACAAACTTATTACTGTAGTGAAAAAGCCTAGATTCACACACAAGACAGACATGACTCTAGCCTTGTATGTCTAATGATTATGGTATGTCTCTTGTGGAGATGTAAATAATAACTAGAAGGCCAACAAAGAAGAGGGAAAAAGAAAGTGTGGGGAATGCAGAGAGAGTGAGAGAGCAAGCACACAAGAGGCTAGAGAGAGCAGAGAGCAAGAAAAGACTGGGAGGTGGATGCTGTTTTGTTTCTAGGTCGGGTAGAGAACAGAGGGTGATGAGTGAATTCATTTGGGATATAGGGGATAATTTTTAAACATTCCGCATTAAAGTGCAAATAATATTTCATTCTCCTACGGTATGTATACCACCTTGGAAACTTCATGAAACGTAATTTGAAATGCACTTATAAAATTGTGATGGGGGAGGATATGGAATCGAATGGAAAATAAATAATTTGTTACAGAGAACGTAACCACCAGCATGAAGGGACTGGGAACTCTTAAAGGGTGTTCTCCTTCCCTCACTGGAACTATTTTCTCCATTCTATGGACTAGGTTTGGAAAACTGAGGGAAGAGACAGGCCCATCCTCAACACACACAGCTGTCACCAGGCTATCTTGTTTCCTCCAGGATTGCTCACTGTGTGCTGGCCTCTGACTGGCAGGAGCTGCCACTATTCACTTCTTCCAGCAATCCCAGGACAGAATTGTCAGTGCTAAACAGAAGGTTGGCATGCTATAACCCACCCTGACTCACTCTCACAGACACTGGAGTGGCAGGTGGTCGTCAGAGACAGGAAGAGAGAAGCAGGGGAACCATGATCTGAAGGGCTTTGTGGAGCTGGGGTGGTGCTGAGAGTCCTGGCTTCTGAGGCAAAAGCAAAGCAAAGACCAAAACAAACAGGCAAACAAAAGCCCCAGACAAAACCAAGTGGAAGAATTGGAGAGAAATGGGCACCAGGAGGCTGGGCGCCTGTACCAAATAGGAACCAGATGCAACTTTCAAATATTTGCCTGCTTTACGTGTGGACATCTGTGTGAGTAGCTGCACTTTATGGTGGGATACTCCATTACCTCCTCCAAACACCAGGTGTAGAAGGTGGAAGTCATACTCCTTTCACAGATAAAAGAGCCTCTGATAATGACAAAATTAAAATGACTTTTGAGTAAAGCCACTGATCTTGGTTCAAGGGGGTCTGTATTTACACAAATTTGAGATGTTAACATTGTTGGAAAGAAATAAATGAGAAAAACCTGAAGTTCCTTAAAGTCCTACCATCCTAGGGTGAATTGTGTAGAAAATCTTAAGTGTAGATCAAAAAAACTTCAGCCTAAATTTTAGGAATAGACAAATGCTTCAGGCATTTGTGTTGGTGTCCTATGAATTTACAGAAAATAGTCTGAACTGACAAGGAAAAGCACTGGAGTGAATCACCATTGTGAAAGCACCATATTGCAAATATTTTTTCAAATGAAAATTTTTGAAAAAGTACAAAAAAAGTTCATATGATAATTGGATACTTTTCTGATTATCATCGTCTTTATCCATTTTTAATTTACATAATTAAAAATAAAGTTAAAAATACTTTTTTTGGTAGCCTTAACCTTAGATAAAAATAGGCTTTGTGAACACATTCAAAGTATAGGCACAGATTTTGTATGTCTCTGGAAGGGAGTTTGTTTACTGGCCAGTTCGATTTTTGACAAAGAAAAATGGGCTGCTCTTGCTTGTTGCACAAAGATGCACTGTTTCCAGAGCAAAGCGAGAGGAAAAAAAAGAGAGAGAGAGAGAATTTAAGTTTAAGTAAAAAAAAAAAAAAATGAAGACAGTATTCAACATGGTAACTAGTATAAATTTTCTATGAACTGATAAAATGTGTGATTTGTGAGAATTAAAAGTATAACTTTGTAATTAGAACTTAAAATACTAGTATCTGGAAATCTTAGCTGCAAGCAACTTACTCTAAACTTCATTTTTAGTATCCCATTATTAAAGATACAGTTCTTTTCAAAAGTTTTTTGTCGAGATTGTTGTACAGTACTCAAAGTTTCTAAATGGAATGAGGCAAAGTATTTGTGAAGTTGAGCTGCCTTGATCCCTTCCACAGAGCTGCCATCTGGGCTTGTTTATTTGTGTTTCCAACTTTCTTGAACAGAGTTCCTCTGTTCCAGATGGGGTACCAAGCAAAGGAAGTGTCTAACACAGAGAACTACCTTTTTTCTTTTTTCTTCTCCCCCCTCTTTTAACTGTATTTTCAAACTTGAAAAATAATCATAGAGTAACACAACCTCAAAATTCAACAAAACTGGCAGCCTCAGAATTGTCTGAGCAGTCTTCCACAATTTGATGCTAGTAATATTGACTATATGCTACCACCTTGTGTCTTTCAGTCCTTTTTCAAAACACAAGCTGTCATTAAGGCTAGAGCTATTTGACCTGGAAATCAAGCATTTTTCATAAACCCTTACATAAGTAAGTGTTTGATTTTAAAACAAAAGAAACATTTCAAGGCAGTTTTCCTAATTTTGTAAACTACGTATGAACCATGTTACAAAAAAGAAAGAAAAAAGAAGCAAATAAAACAAAACAAAAATATTTCCAAATACAATTAACAGACAAAGAATCATTGCTAGCTAGATTATACAATCTGATTATGTAGAACAGCTTAAGAAATCACAGGTCAGCACTTCAAAAAATTAGTAGTCTCTTATTTGTCAAATAAATTAGAAAAAAAAGTACCTTGTAAAGTAAAATCCAGCAGTACATATTCGTAAGCAAATTCCGTCTTTGTTTCCACTTGCGGTCTCTTCAGGGTAGAAAATATTTTTCCAGGGCTGCTATCATCAGGGTCTTCTAGCTTCCTAAGTCCGCACCCCATGGCAAAGTCTGCAAGGAATTAAATTGCAGGAAAGGGGAGGGAGGACAGCAAATTCTGATGTCTAAGCTGCAAAAAGAAAGTTACAGACTTCACTGCTGAACCACAGATATCCAAAATGCAAAAGTTGGGGTCCAAAGAAAGGAGCTGAAGAGTTTTTCTATCCATTTTTCTGTAAAGTCACTGAGCCCATGATTAAGCTACAGCTTCTGGAGGCTGGGCTTGATCTTAGAGAAACACACAAGCTGCTGCAACTTAGCGGAGAATTTCCATGCCACGTCAATTTACAGCCAGCCAGCCCCCTACCAGAGTGCTGCCGCTCAGGGCACCAACATGCTTTGTCTATCCCAGTTGGCTGGATGATAAAAGAGACGTCCAAAAATGGAACTAAAAAGGCAAACTTGATGCAATTATCTACAAGTAGAGGATCTATTCAGACACAGTGGCATACAATTCTTTTTCTGTTTTCTCTGTCCTGGGCCCACTCTCCTTCCTCCTCCCAGGGAGAGAGAGAAAAAGAAAGGGAGAGAGAGAGAGAGAGAGAGAGAGAGAGAGAGAGAGAGAGAGAGAGAGAGAGAGAGAGAGAGAGAGAGAGAGAGAGAGAGATGGATTTTCAACAAGGTTAGAAATAAAAATCATTTCCAGAAAGGAAGTCAGCCTTCTGAGGAAACTGTTTCTGAAGTTCAAAAGGAGGAAAGTGAAAAAAAAGCACTTTAGTCTAGGTAGCAGTTTTGAAAGTTTCTTTCTATATGGAGTTTCTTTTTTTGCTGGGAATATCATATACTTATTAAATACTGACAAGTACAAAAAGTTTATATCAAATATTTTCATAAAAAAGACTTTGGGGGAAAAGAGGGGCAATTGGGGGAACCCAATAAACTACATTATATATAAGCCATGTGACTGTCATAATGAAACCCATTACTTCAAACAATACGTTAATAAAAAGAAGCAAAAAATAAGAAAAAAGACTTTAATTGCAAAGGAGAGACAGTTATATGGAGAGTTTCCCCATCACCCTTACCTTAGTTTATGTATTTATTGGCAATACTGGGGTTTGAACTCAGGGCATGGCACTTGCAAGGCAGGTGCTCTATTGCTTGAGCCACACCTCCAGCTCACCGCCACCCTTACTTTAAAACACTCTGTTATTAGAGGACTTATGATAGTAACTAATAAAATTTTATAGATCTCAAAGTACCATTAATTAAAAAAAATGAAACTTTGAGAATTTGATTCATTCAGTCTTATAAATTGCCATTCACCTGAAGTCAAGAACGATATGTAATGGATCAACTGTAATGCATATTTATCCATTGCATTTTGTTGTGGACGGGTCAATTACTATGGTGAACTTAGTACAACTGTGAGCCCTGGAATCAAACTGCCCGGGTTCACTCAGGCCTACTGCAAGCAAGTTACTTGACCTCTGCAAGTTTCAGTTTCCTCTCCTCTAAAATGGAGTTAATAATAGTACTTACTTCACAGGCTTGTTATGAAGGTTGAACGGGATAATCTTATCTCCTATCTTAACACTGTGTCTGGTGAATAGCACAAAATACATTTGTTAATGTGTGTACAGTAGAAAACAGGGCTGGCAGTAAGTAAAAGGAAGGAAGTGATTCTGCCAACACTTCCATTATTTACAAAATAAGCCCTGATCTCATGTGAGATTCCGGTTTGTTCTCAGTCTGAAAAGATTTTTCAATCACATTGAATTGTGCACATGAAAAGTTTCATTTGTAGATCATAATCACCTTTTGCCTTTCTTCTACCTACTTCCCTTTAAATGTTTTACTTCTCAAGTGTTTTTTTTTTTCATTTTTATTAGCATATATATTCTTTATACGGGGAGGGATTTGTTGTGACAATTCTGAGTATTCTTACATTGTTCGTTGGTTAGATGGCTCCCTCCATTCCCCCCCGCCCCACAGTACTCCTTTCTCAAGTGTTTTTAACAGTGAGCAATTCCTTAGTCCCCCATGTTCAAAGGAGCATGGACAATGGTAAGACATTCTGGGTAAATTTAGTTAAAAAGATAGTACATTCTAACACAGAATGACTTATTTGACTATTTATGATGTTTTCATGGCTATAGTTTTCATGTCTTCTCTCTTATCATTGACCATGTTCATCCTACAGCAGAAATGAAATCTTTGAAGGTCACTAGTACTTATTGCAGTGACTGGAAGATTATTAAGCACCCATTATATTTATCAAGTGATTGCCATATTCCAGGCACTCAGTTAGATGCTGGGTACACAAGATGATAACCTGGCTCTGCCCTAAAGGGACGAATGGTAAAATGGGGAAGAAAGAGAATTTCAATGTAATTTGGTAGCTACTAAGACAGAAATATGCATAGGAGGCTATAGAAGCCAAAGATGGGCCTCTCACCACCCTGGGGATGATATCTTAACTGTCTTCAAGGACAACTATATATAATAAAAAGAAAGGTGGATAGGAGGGAAAAGCATGAGCAAAGTCAGGCAATCATGAAATAGTATGAATGTCTAAGGAACACAAAGAAGTTAAGAATTACTAGAATGTAAAATGTGAAAAAAAAGACTAAGCTATAAAGGAGAAAAGGGTTAAAGTTGTAGTAGGCTTTGTATGCCATACAAAGGGAATTTGGATTTTATTTTGTAGGCAATAAAAGGGAGCCAAATAATTGAGTGGAATAACCAAATGAGTCTGAAGTAGGCAAGTAACATCAGTCTGCGTTTTAGATGTGCCTTGAGGAAGGTTTTTTCCCCCTATTACTGGGGTTTGGACTCAGGTCCTCCCACTTGCTAGACAAGTGCTCTGCTACTTGAGCTACTTCCCAGTCCTTTTGCTTTTAGTTTGTTTCTCAGGTAAGGTCTCATTTTATCCTGGGTTGGACTCAGATCACCATCTGAGGAAGATGCTTTGGATAGGAGTAAGAATGGAGAGTAGTCAGGAAGTTATGCAGTCGTCTAGATCAGAGCTGATGACTGGTGGTCTGGGGGTGTAGCTCAGTGGTAAAGTGCTAGCATGTATTGCATGCCCAAGGTCCTGGTACTGCCAAAAAAAGTATATTACTGAATGAATTAATGGGTATGGTGCAATACTAGGTTCTTAAAAAGATTTGTTTTATCTTTAGTAAAATGGACTACAGTAGCTTCTGTTCTCTTTTTTTGGTGGTACTGGGGTTTGAACTCAGGGCTTCACACTTGAAAGGCAGGAGCACTCTACTGCTTGAGCTGTGCCTCCAGCCCAGAACTACAATTTCTTAAGTTCATAACTGAACGATCCAATCACTTGGTATTTTTCTCTCCAAAATTGCAACAAAGTAAAATTTTATTTGATTCTTAATAATTTTTTTTGGCAGTACTGGGGTTTGAACTCAGGACCTCATGCTTGCCAGTAAAGCATTCCATAACTTGAGCACCACTCCCCAGCCCTTTTTTGCTTTAGTTATTTTCAGGTGGGCTCTTGCATTTTTGCCTGAGGGCCAGCCTCAGACCATGATCCTCCTGACTATGACCACTCACAGAGTTGGGATCACAAGCATGTACCACCATCCTCAGCTTACTGGTTGTGATGGTGGCTTCTTAACTTTTTGCCCAGTCTAGCCTTAACTCGCAATCCTCCTGATCTCTGCCTCCTGGGTAGTGGGAGCTACTGTGCCCCAGCCCGATCTTTAATTATATCTTAAACACACATTTCATTTACCAATATATAGCATGCATTCCTATTATTTAACAATTATTCTCTGTATCTGTAGTTTAGACATTGACAGTTTCCACATTTGCAGATTTACCTAATTTTGGATTGAAAATATTAAAAAAAAGTACTGAGCAGGCAGACTTTTCTTTCCTTGCCATTATTCCTGAGACAATATAGTATAACAATGATTTACATATGATTCCTTATAATATGGGGTATTATAAGTAATCTAGAAGTGATTTATAGTATATAGGAGGATTGTGTAGGTTATATACAAATACTGTCCATTTTTTTGGGCAATACTGAGGGTTGAACTCAGGTCTCTGTGCTTGCTAGGTAGGCAGTCTACCACTTGAGCCACTTGCCAGCCCTAAATAACTATGCTACTTTATATAAGGTGCCTGAGCATCATGGATTTTGGTATCTTTGGGATGTCCTGAAACCAGTGTCCTGTGGGTACTGAGGCGATGATTGTATATGGCATTTCACTGCATTAATACAAGGCTTAACAAATAACATTTTGGCTATTTTCAAGTTTTTACCACAAAGATTTTTATAAAGATTACTTTTTTTTCCACTTTGAATTATTTCCTAAATACTTCATAAATGGTTAAATAGTTCACACACAAGGAAACCAGTTAGATAGTTATAAGAAGAGAGAAACACATCCTGATGACTAAATAACTTACTTACATTACTTATGTAAATGTGATTATCTATAAAGCTGTTTAAAGTATTAACCTTATATATTTTAAGTTTTCATTGATTATCACATATCTTGCCCCATACTTCTTTAATGTGTATTTTTATACACATGCTTTTTAAAATATTTTTCCATCTCCATTTTGTCCTTAAGAATAATTTGCATTTCTTCAATGGTACATTTATTTTTTTGAACTAACATTTTAAATAGGTTTATTCTGAGAGGGATTCCAAGATGGTGGCTAGAAGGAGGAAGCAGAAAGCGTGCTTCCAAAAGTAAAATCGTGGAGAGACACCAGAGATACACCTTACAGGAAAAACCACTGAGAAGAGGCAAAACGTTCACTCCTCCACACCCCCAGCCTGTGCATAGCATTCCCACTCCACATTAAACGGAGAAACCAGGAGGGCTCCTGTGCTGCTGCCAGATGTGGATGCCCAGACGACTTGGGAAGATGTGGGCCACAAGGTGAGCTAAGCAGCATGTGGTACTCCCACAGACAACCCTGGGCCAGATCAGCATAGCCCCTGGGACAGACTGACCCCCACCCAGGGAAAAAGGAAAAAAAAACTGAATAATAAGCAATAACAACAAAAAAGACACGTAGCAAAGAGGGCGGGGCACCCTGAGCACCGAAGGGGGGGGGGAATCCCTCACAGAACTGTAAATAAACACGCAGGCCAGAGAAGGCAGGACCAGTGGCACATGCCCAGCAACCAGGAGTGGGAAAGCTTGTAAAAGTGGTGGTGGGAGAAAAACTCCATAGGAGGGGGGGAAGACCCACTTCCCACGTGAACTGTAACTAAACATGCAGGCCTGAGAAAGTGAGTGCAGTGTCACCTCCCCAGTGTGCTTGGAAAGGGGAAAGCTTGTAGCAGTGGCATCACACCAAGGAGAACTCTAAGTAAACAAAGCCTGTGGGGTTAGGTGAGTGTTAAGCTCACTCCTCAGATCTGCATAAATAAAGCCTCAGGCAACAGCAGGCTGACAGCAGTGGGCAGGTGAGCTGCAGCATCAGATAGCCATACACAGAAC